GTATTCTCTCATATACATAAATGTATTTTATCTTACAAAATTCATTTTGCATGACTCTTAGATTATATATAAGCATTTTTGATGTAAATCAAATACGTATCAGATTATCGGTTCTTTCAAACTTATTTGAATTCACCAAAACTAAAAAAAAAAAAAATTACGTTAGTATGTAAAAATCTTTTCAAATAAAAAAATAAAAAAATAATACAAAGTGAAAATGATGATTTTTTGAAATTTAATTTTGATTTGTAAAGTTGTACGTTTAGAACAAAAACGCAACTTTAGTTAGAGTAATAAAGATACAATTAAGCGATATTAAAAAATAAGTGTATGATCAATCAAATATGGTATCCAAATGGACACTAATACAATTTTATAAAAGTAATTGATATCACTAAATGATTCATTGTTAAAACGTTATGTAAATATGTAAAGATTTTGTAATATTTTAATTGAATTTAAATTTGTAACATGTTAAAAATTTAATGTAAATATGTTGAGATTTCTAATATGGTATAGAAACTTAATTGCAATATTTTGATTGGTTGATTTAATTGATGTGTTTCTTAAATTCCTCTTTGTTTGACACCTATAATTTTTCTGTGAATATCTCTTCACTTAATATATAAATTTTTTTTTTCCATAATAAAAATATAAGCCTAGATCATCCAAATTAACATAAAAATTATTTTAGACAAAAATTGTATTGTATTTTAATTCAAGTAGTTGGATTTCCAAATCTATCAAATATTTTAAAGGTCTCACCTACCTTTAAAAATTAAAATGCTGCAAATGAACTTAAGATATTACAAATCCCTATTTGAAGATAAATTAATCAAAATAATTCCCATTATTTTTGTTTCCCACAATCTATATTCTGCTTTGAAATGTCGATATTACCCTTTATCATTTGTTATAATTACTGTCTCTGCCATCGTACATATATATATTTAAAAGAATATATACAACAAACTAACGGAACAATAGAATATTTCGTCTACTGAAAATACCCATTATAAGTTCAGAATATTACGTCTCTTGCCACCGTTTGGTTATTACGGTATTGCCACTGATTTCGTTTCTAGAGATTCTGTTGGGCTTTGTTAAAAATTGTTAATATCGAGCATGCTATTCTTGATATGATCGAATTAAGATGGAAATTTTCCATATTTATCTTAGAGAAATTTAAAAAAATGCCACTTTTCAAGTGCCACTTTACAAATGTCACTTTATAAAAATGTTACACTTTTGAAATTTTTACAAAAATACAATTTTTTCAAATTTTTTTTTATATTATTTATGTTTGGGTTAACTATGTTTTATTAGGATTTAGGGGGGTTTAGGGGTAAAAACATTT